TGTGGGAATGTATGCCATAGCTAAACATATAAAGGTATTTCTTGTCATGTTAATATCCATGTTGTATGAACCATGTTGATCTCCTCATGTGATGTAATATGGTGTGTTACTGAGCAGAGCGTCCTATTGGCTCATGTAAACCTGACAGTTGATGTTATGTAACCGGTAAGAGAATAAAAGGAGGTGCCAGGCATCATTGGGGAAGCTGATATCACAGAGAGCTGAGCTGTCTTCACAGAGAGCTATTATCACTGAACCATTTGAACAGCAACTTCAGCCAATGATCCTGAGCACGCTTTGAAAAGATTAATTCGACTGCAGTCTCCTTATTTCAGAGGTCTCTCCCTCCGGAACCTTTCAGGGACCTCTCCCATCACCACAGGTTGTTGGAGCCGGATTCCAACAATCCAAGTAGCTTCTTCAGTCTGAGGAGAGTTGGTAGGAGATCCCTGATATATCCTCCATGTTGTTTTCACTTCTCCCTAGTCTGAATGGGCTTGTTAGATGGACAAAGGGGGGGTGAGAGATAATCCCACTTCTATAGTCCTTCTCCACCCATTGTCATGAGTCGTTAACAGTGGTCTTTCTGGTGTGTGTATGGGCCTGATCTTTCTGGGGACGAATGAAAGGGCAGTATGATAAATAGGAGACAGATAGTATCTAAGGCCTCCACCCTAGTTGAGTGAGGGATTTTCTATATGCACATATATGGCCTCCCTCACCCCTCTCTCAAACCACCTATCTTTTTGGTCCAAAATGGGTACATCTTGGTCATCAAATGATGTCCTTTGTCTTTCAAATGAAGGAACACTGCTGATTGTTGTCCTGAGGCATTGCCCGTCCTGTGTTGGGCCATTCTCCTGTTTAGTCGCTGTTTGGTTTCTCCAATGTAGAGCTCCAAACACTCGTCTTTGATTTGGACAGCATATACTATATTGCTCCTGTTGTGTTTTAGTGTCTGGTCTTTTAGGTGGATGAGTCTCTGCCTTAGTGTGTTTGTGGATTTGAAGTGCACGGCGATGTGGTGTTTACCAAAAATCCTTTTGAGCTTTTCAGACACACCCACCATGTAAGGAATGACCAGGTTCTTCCATCGGCTCTGGGTCTCAGACTGTTCCATTGTCCTCCTGGGTTCGGACATTGCCTTGTTAAAGGCCCATTTTGGATATCCACAGGCCTTAAGGGCTGTTGTCAGATGTCCGTCTTCCTTCTTCTTGGCTTCCGTGGAGGTGGGGATGTTTCTTGTTCTGCGGTTTAATGTCCCGACGACCCCTAGTTTGTGTTGCAATGGGTGATGAGAATCAAACCAGAGGTATTGATGAGTGTGCTGTACTTTTTCTGTAGATTTCTATTCTTAAGCTGCTGTCGGGTCCTATGATGACTGCACAGCTGGTTGTCCTCGGTGTCTTCCCTGGTGAACTTGAAATTTGGATCTACCGCGTTTACGTGGTCTGTGAAGGCCTGTACTTCCTGAATCTTGATCTTCACCCAGTTGTTGTCCACATACCTGAACCAATGGATCAGAGTTGTCCCCTGGAAGGTGTTTAGTACCTGCTTTTCCACTTCTTCCATGTATAAGTTAACAACAATGGGCGACACAGAGGAACCCATTGCACAGGCATGTTTCTGTCTGTAAAGGCCACTTCTGTAGGTGAAGTAAGTGGTGCTCAGACACAGGTCCAGGAGCAGGCATATCTGGTCTGGGTTGAGGCTGCTTCTGGTGGAGAGGGCGTTGTCTTCTTCCAGTCTTCCTTCTATAGTTGTTTAGGTCATTGGGGGTGGGAATGCTAGAGAAGAGGGATGTGACATCAAAGGACACCATGGTTTCATCAGCATTTAGTTTCCATTCCCTGATCTTGGATACAAACTCCTCTGAGTTGTGAATGTGGTGGTCCAAGTGTCCAACCGATGGTGCTAAGATGGTGGCCAGGTATTTAGCAATGTTGCATGTTGCTGAGTTTATGCTCCTGATGATGGGTCTGAAGGGGGCTCCTTCCTTGTGTGTCTTGGGAAATCCATAAAGGCAGTGAGGGGTGGGGTCTCTCTACCAGTGGTAGGTCGCCCTATCGATGGACTGTTCCTTTTCCAAGTGTTTCAAGCATTCTATCACTTTTTTTTCTGTAAATGTTGGTGGGGTCCCTCTTCAGTTTCTCGTATGTGTGTTGATCTTCCAAAAGTGAGCTTTATTCTTTATTAAAGATAAAGAACCATTACAAAAGGGATTAGGAGCTCTCAGGAGATCCCCATTAAGAATATTTGGTTGAGGATGGCAGACAGAGCAGATAATTGTGTCTAGCTATTACATTATTAACTTAAACTGACATGTGTGGATTTAATGTAAATATTTGTCATCCTTTCTAGTGATAGCTTTCTTCCTTTTTGGTGGTCATTGTTTTCTGTGCTCTTCTTTTTGGCAATATCCCTTCTCCTTTTTTGGCTATGCATCGGTGGCTATCCTAGATTTTCTTCCATGTAAATATGTATTGGATTGCAGATGATGAATGAGGACTGCAGGAAATGATTTTATTCACAAAGCAGCTGGAACATCATTTTAATAATACTTCACTGTTGATAGCCCATGTGTGACAAAGACTAAGGAGCATGCATAGAAATCCCTGGACTGCATAGCTGTGTGTGTGACTCTTGTTTCCTTCACATTTTCCTTGAGATGAGGAGCAGTGGAGAGGTATAAAATCCATAACAGGCTGGGAAGAAATTAACTGAAACTTGTAAGGTCATCAGTGGGGCAACAACCAAGAGAAGGG